ACAGCCCTTAAGTGCTTTAAATCATCTGTAGTGCTGTGGTTAGTAATGTAAACCTCTTAAGGTGAATTGCTAATGTTTGCCCATTACTCCACTCAGGCTGAGACTCGTGCTGAGTTCGCTGAGAGATCAGTCGCCAAGCTTGAGAAGACCATTGATGACCTGGAAGGTATGAATGTTTTCTGCTTGATTTTTAAACATTGGAATTTTTTTCATAAAAACTGTAGGGGTGTGTTACTACTCAACAAGTCAACTCAAAAAGTAACCTTGTTAGGCCCTATGAATTCCTTGTGGAGTCGTCTTCTACTATCATAAAACCAACAACAGTTTTCTCTAATTTCTCAAAGGGACACTTGTGAAATAGACAATAAGGGCCCCTTTTGTAAACACCGGTGCGGTGTGAGGTTATTTATCTGGTCAGCAGGTTGTTTAACAGTCCTCAGGACAAATATCGGCACTGTTAATGGTCTACCGGATGGGGGGAAAAACCAAAGCGGTGATCCTCAGAGGCCAACGTGATATTATTCATGCTGGCAACAACATTTCTCACCGTAGTGCTGTTTGGCATTCTGGTGTAGTGACTGTTCAAGGTCACATCAGTCTCAAGCAGTCCTGCCAGGGTCATGGAACATGTGAGGCAGTTTCTCTGTGACTCCTCAGGAATCTGACACCACATCAGCAGCTGTTCCCTGTGCACTTCCTATTTTTGTCCTGCTTTTTCTCTATTTGTATTTTCCTTTTGACTGTTCTCTTACACTATTATTTTTCTGTTGTCTTTTTATTTTATTACAAATCCTTCACTGCCACCTCATAATAATAACCACACAATAGATGAGCTGTATGCCCAGAAACTGAAGTACAAGGCCATCAGCGAGGAGCTGGACCACGCCCTCAACGACATGACTTCCATGTAATTCACCACATGCTTGTTTCTACTTTGTGTCTTAGATCTCGACACCCCTAACCACTGTTACATGCGTACAATAGCTCCCTCTTGTGGCATGTTTGAGTGCAGTGATTTTTATTTTTTTATTATTCAGCTAATTTATAGATGGGTGGGATGTTTTTTATTTTTTTATTTTTTTTAAAAGATCCTCTTTCACTGCTTGTCTTACATTGGTTTTTGTATGCACTTATTGTGTTTGGTGTGTATTTTAAACTATTTCCTGAGGCTAGATTTCCCAAACCTAACTTCTATTAACAGCCTTTAGCAGTAGTGTTAGTTAACCCCTTTATAGTTTCTTGCAACACTACCATATTTCTTCATATGCTTCATTTTCTTTAGGGTTTCTGGTTCAATTCTGCACTTTTCCTTCTTGGTTCTGCATGTTCTTTATCTTGCATTCCTCCTTTTCATATCTCCCTCCAACATTTTTGTTCTTGTCTCGTTTTTTCACAGCTAAATCTTTACACCCCTCACTCCAGAAGCTGGTTGAGCGCCATCTCTTTCCTGTGCAGCGCAGCCCAACTTTCTGTCTCTCCTGTCTCTGTATTTCTTTACTCCTGCACATTGGGCCATCGCTGCCACCCTCCATTTGTTCATCTCTCTTACAGACCTTTTTGAGCCCTATTGCTTTCTGTAAAATAAAAATGTTTCCATCTTTGCCAGCCCTCCCCCTTTCTCCTGCCATGTTTCTTCATTTTCCATTTGTCGTTATCTTTTTTCTTGTTTGTTTTGTTTTGATTTTTGTCTTCTATGTGTTTCATTTTTTTGTTGAGTAGCTTTTGAATAAACTCTGAAGCTCCTCTCACATTCACTCTTCCTTTTTCTGTTTGAGAGGACTTCCTTGACATAATGGTGCTTTTGGGGTGTTAATTTTATTTATTTTTAACAAGCTAGTGTTCACATTTAGTGAACAGTTGTCCTCTCGGTTTACCATTTTTATATTGGAAGAATACGGTAAAATAACAGTCATGTCTAGTTATTTGCTTTAGATCGACGGTTTCCAACCCCTGATATCTTGAGCGCACTTTGGTGGCCAATAGGATTGACTGCTGCATCACCAGGGAGGTTAAATTTAAGCACTGAAGTATCTTAACAATGATCTTTAGTGTCTACACGGTACTTTTTAAAGGAGAAAGTTATATTGTCAGACTAGTATACCTCTTAGAAATGTATTGTGCTTCGGTGCGACAGTTTCCAGATGATCAGCTGAGCCTCAGTCCCTCCGCCAAAAGTCACTGGCACTGAATCTGGATTACGTGTTGGTCACTTAATGTGTAGGCTTCTTCCAGGCTATCCTCAATATCTCTGGGGGGAAAAAAAAAGCACAATCTACAGTAAGTACAAAAGCAACTAAAGGAATAATTAGTAATTAATGTTGCTGTGGGTAACCAGGACAGTAAGCTAGTAACAGCTTTAGGACCTTTTCGGAAATGACAAATAGAGTGAGTTATTGCTTTAGTTCATGAGGCTGGCAGTTCAACAACTTGTATTTTGTGATTAGCTTTAAAGAAGCACTAACTCTTTCTCTGTTGTACTAACCTGCTTTCTGTCTCTTTCCCTTTTCTCTTACCTGCTTTCTGACTGTCAAGACCATCTATACAAGCAGCTTGAGAAAAACCGTCTTCTGACAAATGAACTAAGAGTAGCTTTAAACGAGGCTTAACCTGGAACGGACTCTTGTATGCTTTCATTCTTCTGAAACTCAAATGTCCAGGCATAAAGCAGTCTAATGCTGTGGTATAAAAAGAGTATAGACAACCGTGTCTATAATACAACACTTAAACCAACTAATGCTTTAAACAAACGGGATACAAATGTATGATTTTCACATTATGCATGCACAAACTCAGACGGCCTCAGGTTATGAAACATTATGGAATGGATTTGATATATTTATCTCAGTTATCGACAGGGTTGTAGCACCTCAGTCCAATCTGCACAATGCTGTTGCTCATGGGTTGAAGACTAGTGATGATACTGGTGGCCGAACGCTGCGGAAGGGTCATAAAATGCCGCAGGGGTCCAGAATTCCTTCTACATCCCTGAATCCTCCTGTAATATTATGATGGTTAAACAGAAAAAAATGTTTTTTCCAAGAAAAATAATCCTGTACACATTGAAACCAAAGTGCCCGTTTTTTTTGGTTTTCATGCAGGTTTGACATGTTGCAATTGGAGTTGGTGGTTTTTTAATTTTTATATTTCTGTAGCATTTCAGTACAGACACACATCAGTGTTTGACTGTTTTTTGATCTGGTAATGAATGACCTTACAGAGTGGATTTGAAGTAAACTTGACACATCGCACAATTTGAATGAGTGCAACACTAACACTATGATGACCAAGGGATGATTTGGAAGATATAAAGTCTCTAATTTGGGTTTTTTTTTTTAGGTTAGGTTTTTTTGACTGACTGGTTTGGACTTGATACTGCAGGTCATGAGCATCATTTAAAACCATTGTCAAAGGGCCCTACTTTTCTGCTGAACCCATACAGTCTTGACTACAGCCCTGTCTATAGCTTTAGTGTAATATTTACAGTGAATTGGCTCAAAGTATTGGAGTTGAAGTTATGTACTTAATGAATGCTGACTTATTTCATTGAAAAAGATATGGAGAGGTGACATTTTTCACATGCAAAAGGTTGTAATAATATCCAGCACATGTCTAACACTGTTTGTTATCCTGGGCTAGAGCTTTGTCTGTTTATATTCTGTGCATCTTGGCGCTGTTGTCTGATTTTTAACCCATGCAATGCTATATTAACAGATAAACTCACACGTGCTAAAGAAGAAAGCTTGAGCGTAAAGCAGATGCTGGATCAGACACTAATGGAGATGGTTAACTTTTGACCCAGCTCTGTTCCTCTACCCACATTGCCTCATCTGTTCTGAATATGGCTGGCTCCCATATATAGCTGCTACATATAATGTTGGGCTTGGGCTCGTGTGTCTCCTGTTGGTCATCCTGAAGGACGGAGCTCTACACAAAGTAGCACAAACGGCTTCGGTGAGCTACAGTTAAACTACACTGTTCCCGTTACACACTGTAATCAGAGGTCCGTTAAAATCCGTTGTATATCTTCAATAGGTTTACATGTATATGTTGGGAGAATTTGCACTTTTGTGGGGAAAATACTGCACATAATCATTGTGAACAAAGCCATAAGTTAAGCCAAGTTTATAAAAAAGGGACTTTTATTATGTGTACTTTTGTAAAGTTGCTTGTGTGTGTCCTTGTTTCTTCTGTATTATAACCATTCAGTGTCAGTGATGTTGTATACTCACAGTTTGGCAAGGAAGGAATTCTCAGTGCAGTTGCTTGAATGTACTGTTGCATTCAGCAAAGTGAAAGAAATGTTTGTGCACTGTACTCACTTTTCTGTTAATTTTGAGGAACTGATTTGTTTAATTTGTCTCTCCCATTTTATCTTGTAAATGTAAAGATTATAAATAAATGGTTGGATCAAGTATAAGATACTCCAAATCTGTCTTTATTACAAAGGTTTCGTTTGATGAAACAGTTGGGCAAAATGTAACATGTCATTACTGTTGCTGCACATTAAATTCTCTATACCGTCACTTAATTTAAGCAATGTGAAATAGTGCACAAGACCTTTACAGTTGCCACTTGTGCCATTTTAAATGACAAGGACATGTGTTATACCACTGTTAAAACATGAGCTGTACCCTCCCAGTTAGTTGAGGTTCATCACCAGTGAAAAATGTGATTGAGCCCACTTACCAATGTTATTAATTATAAAGCTGTGGTTCCTAATCATTTTGGTTATTGCCTCTGTGTAAATTAGTTATTTTTCCTCTAGAATTGTTTCATTTGAAAAACTTTTACAGGGCTTAAAAGGTGAAGTGTATTTCACAAGCGGATAAGCCCAAAAAAGACACCAGTAGCCTTTTTCTTGTATAACTACCAGACAAATAAGTCTTTAAAATGAACCTTTTTATTACATTTAACAGTAAACTAACATATTAAAGGAAACTTAACTGTCACAGCTCCTCCTCGCCGCGGGGGGGCAGTGTCTCACCTCGGCAGCGGTGGAAGTGAAAGGGGAAAGTTCGTAGCTGTGCAGCCGTGCTGGAAAGCCCACGACTTAAGAGGGAAACATGGGTGAAAATGAAGACTTTACCGGTTCTTTACAAGACAGCAAGGCAGCATACATACTCAGCAATGTTGCCGAAGTGGTTGAGCGCATTCTGACGTTCGTACCAACCAAATCTCTCCTCCGGATCGCAAGGTAACGGGAAATGTTTGCATGCTAAACTGAAGTGAGCTAGCGTCAATGGCTGTCGAGTGGAAGTGAAACTAGTTTTCAGAAAGCTAATGGGGCAGCTCGAATGACCTCTGGGAGTCTTGTACCTGGTGTGTCAATGGTTGCAGGTGCTCAACGGTGTTTCGTGATAGAAGACGAACTTAATAGCTAACGAAGTTCCTACCGAGCTCGTGTGTAAAGGTGTGTGTGTGTGTGTGTGTGTGTGTGTGTGTATAAAGGTGTGTGTGTGTGTGTGTGTGTGTGTGTGT